CTGCTGAAACAAAAGCCTAGAGGCAACATTCTTGTAGTCATGACAATCCAGGGAATATGCCAGGAACAGGATTTGTTTGGCATGTTTTGGTATCTATTATTGGGAGAGATGTTAAAACAAGTGACTTGAGGAAGGGCATTTTGTGCCGTAGTTAGTCTAACATCTTTCCCAACTCTACAGTTGGTCCAATAAACTATTACCAAATAAATCCTGCTTCACCTTAGTGCAGACTCCTAAATCTCCTGCTTCTGAGCCAACTCCGTGGCACTTCCACAAAGGTGAGTTTCTTGTTAGAGGCAACCCCCGTTTATCACTCTTAATTGGTTCCTGAAAAAACAAATGTTAAATGAAACGAGAGTTAAGCGAAACCAAAAGTTTTTGATGACCCAAGATGGCGACTGCAAGTGTTTTAAATAACCCAGGACAGCAACCGTGAGTGTTATAATGAAACTCACTGAGTGCTAAGTGGAATCAGGTATCAATTTAAAATGAGTGTTATAGCGAAATAGCGCTAAGCAAAACAGTGTTAAGCAGAGGTTGCCTGTATACAAAAACCTGATATCGTCTTGTCGTACCCGTAATGGGTCGAGCGGTATAACTTATTTTGAGAGAGACACGCAGATCTTTGAAGCAAGCTTTTGTTTATTTAAGAGAAAGGGAATAAACAGAGTATACTCACAAAATCTAATACAGCACACTTAAGCCTTGTTACTACTTATGCGCAGTTTCTAAAGACACCTTTAAAGATGATGCATGGAGGAGATCAGCTAAGCCGTCGGTCGTGCACTACCCACAAAGCTTCTAAATCATCTGTTCCCCCAGCAGTACACGTCTATGAGAACCCTAAGATCTGTACACCTTGCTCAAATTTTGGCTCAAATTTCTTCACATCTAAGTGGAATTTAGGACCAAATTTGGATTAACCTTTACTGTGATTGGCTAAACGCTACAACGTTTTGTGGTTAGTTTGGTCTGCAACTAACTTTATTTTGTACTGCATTGTGGTGAGATACCCTTTTCACCTCTGATCTTCTCAGGTAAGGCTCCTGGAGACAAGTTTGCAGATTGCAGCTTACCTCCCAGGACTGCAGCTCCCTCCCTCGAGCTGCTCTTCGTGGTTTGCCAGTACAGGTGTTTCATTGCTTTGACAATGTTGTGAAAACATGTTTCCCTGTTTCGGCAGCTCAGTAGCAACCGTGCAGTCAGAACACTTGGGTTTCTCTTTTGTCAACTTTGTACTTTGTTTCTGTACTGTCAGCAAAACAGTAGATATGGGTATCGCACATCTCAACCATATTCTGAAGGCTGGAGTACAAGGTAAAATAGCTGCTGTTAAAATTAAGCCCCTCCATTTACAGGACCTCATTCTCTTCCACAAATCAGTACCCTGTTCTTACAGAGTGTTTTTCAGCAGATCTTACAGACCTTTATAAAGGAGATAAACATCACTAATGGAAGAATCTTAGATGCTTTATTTTGGACTGAATGAGCTTATGAAACTGTTCAAAGTAACAGTTCCCCCTTAACACAGACTACATGAAGCGTTGATTCTATACGTTACCTACTATCAACAGTGGACTATGTTAGACCTGTTTCATCACTGACAGCTGGGTCATGTCACCTACTATCAGTAGGTACAGGATGCCAAGGATGGAAAGGGGATGACTGCAGTAGGGTGCTCTGATTTATTTTGAGAGCAGTCTGGCAAGAGGCCCCTCTTTCCTTGCTATGGCATGAGAGAGGTTATGCTGGTGTAAGCCAGATGTTTAGGCACAGGCTGAGGCTGAAATTTGCAGTGAAATGAATATTCAACATGGAAACAGAGGCATTCCTCTGCTTTGCTATGTTAGAGGGGGTGATAGGAATATTTATGACATTACTGGGGGGTTGCCAGTTTTCAAATACATGAGTTTCATTGTTCTGGACCTAATGCAATGGCTCAGATGGGAATGTCATGTGGAAGCAAGCCTTACTGGCACAGAAGGCCTGATTCTTATGTGGGATTTTGTGCATTACATCACTTCAAAAAAGCCCAACAAAACTAAAATTAGTAGTTGTCCCCTGATCACTGAGCCCACAAAGTATATCCTGTTCCTTGATCTTTGAGTATATTCTCTAAAGACAATCCCTACCTGCCAATTGGAGCATAATTGGAGACCTCAGGGAGGTATACTACCCATACTACGCAACCTGCAGACAAGTAGCTAGGCTTGCTGGGGGTCACTACAAAAACCTTATTTCACAGCTCCTTAGATTAACGGTTCCCAAACTGACAGATTTTGTTCCACCAATTTAAAATGATACAGCCTAAAGTGCGACCAGCAAATTTTTCATATACATAGGTAACAGACTATGTATTAAAACAACATAAAAACCTTTAGTAATCATAAAACATGGTTTTACCAGTTATGGTAGCCATATAAAACAACTGTAAATTAGAAAAAGAAGTGTAAACCAGTGGTAGAAGACGTTTTTGGCCAGAGTGCCAAAAAATCCCGCAGTGTCTACCCTGTAAGATGCCAGAGTGCCAGCACACCAGAAAAACTAAACTGGGGCAGGGGGTACATGGCAGGGTCCACTGAATATTAATATAGTTAATAATCATAAATGTTGCTTTTTTTCTTTTTTTTTTTTTTTTTTACAGGAAATACCAGGTTTTCTAAAAATATTAAACCTGGTGACAAATAAAACTTCATATACTACCTTTGTTCTTGTGTATTCTTTTTTTGTTAAGTATGTTGTGATGAGCAAGAGGAAAAAGGGAGGGAGGGAAGAGAAGAGAGAGGGGAGAGAAAATGAAGAGGGAGGAAAGGGAGTGTAAAGCGGGAGAGGGAAAAGAGGGGAGGCATGGGCAGAGCAGGCACAGGGGGAGGCACTGTGGGTAGGCTGGCCTGGCTGGGCCCTTGGCAAGGCAGCAGCCAGAGGAAAACAGGCGGGGAGGGGAGCAGGGGCTGTCCCGGGGCTCCGCAGACTTGGGTCACAGCGGGGGCGCTCAGCGGCACTGGAGGTGGGGTCTGGCCGAGCCCACACAGGTCCGTGGGGATGGGGTGCAGCTGCCCTGCCCACGAGGGAACACTGCCTGGCTAGGGCAGGACGCCAGGCTCAGGGGCTCCCAGCTCAGCCTCTGTGCACAGCGCGAGCAGGGCAGAGCCCCCCGGGCTCTGGGAACAGCTGCTGCAGATGGTGCTCAGGGCTGAGCTGGCCAGGAACCTGCAGCATAGCAGCCCTGCACAGTGCCTGGCCCTGGCCCTGACCCCTTGAGGGGAGCTACAAGTAGGCAAGGCCAGGACCCGGGCAGGCCAAGGCAGCCATAGTAGCTGTTCTCAGGAGCTCTTGTGGCTGGGTCCTTGGACCGGGGGTGGCTCCACACCACTCGCACTGTGCCACTGCGTTGTGCAGAGGCTGAGCCCAGATCGTGAAGCCCTCCTCCCCCCCACCAGAGCCTGGCATCCTGCCTTGGCCAGGCAGTGTTCCCCCATGGGCAGGGTAGGTGCAGCCTATCCCTGAGGAGCTGTGCAGGTTGGCCCAGGCCCCACATTGGGTGCAGCTGGGCATCCCCACCTGGCATAGCCCAAGCATGCAGAGCCCCACAGCAGCCCCTGCTTCCTGCCCGCCCCTGCCTTCCCAAGGGCTTGAATGCACCACATCCCTGCCTGCCTCGTGGCAGAAGGCAAAGCATGGCAGCAGGGTGCAGAGCTCAGTGGGCAGCCTGCTGCTCCCTGGGGGTTTTCTCCCCTCGGGCTGGCTGACTCCATTCCCCCAGCAGGGCCAGCACAGGATATGGCTGCTTCTGCTGCCCAGGTCCTTCCCAGGGCAACCTGGGCCTTTCTAGGGGCATGGGGAGAATCCCACCACTGTGTGCACCCCAGGGTAGACATGGAGGGCACCTGCCCCTGGATTTGTGCACAGGGATGAGGTGGGCTGCTGCTGCAAGCTGGGCTCTGTGCCCCATTGCTGTTGCCTTGGGAGCTGTGCACAACACCATGTGCTTTCTGGGCTGTTCCTGGCTGCCTGCAGCAGGCTGTGGCTGGGTGTCTGTGTGCACCCCTCCACCCGGCCTTCCACCTACCACTCAGGCTGTCTCCACACCACTGGTGTTATGCATACATCAGTTTGAGAACCGCTGCCTTAGTCTAATCCTGCCGCATCACTCAGAGACTGATTTAGACGAATAAGACATGAACAGGGCTTTCAAACTGCCTTTTTCATAGAAGCTGGAAATACAGTGGCCACATAAGGAAGTAGTTTCTTCGCTGAGAGTTAAATGGCCAGAAGAAATCATAGTCCTTGGAGTAACTATTAAAGACCTGTTGTCAAATGAGCTGTTTGGGGCCTATTATCAAATGAGTCATGTGATGAAGGGGGAAGAAAAGTTTAAAAATAATGCCCTGAAGCCAGGCAAGACTTCTGGAGAAGAATGGATATGATAATTACACTTCTGACACCTCCCCCCACCCCCGAATGGATATAATTGTTTCACTCACACACAAAGTATTACTCTCTGAAAAGATCACCTTTATTTTAGTTTCTATGTATATATTATATACAACTATGGAACTATGTATTAGCCTCAAAGGCAGGGCCTCATTTCCATAACAGGTCTCCACCATATAAAAAATTGGATTATTTTTTCAGCCCTTCATGCACTTCTTCCCATATTTCCTTCTCTAGTTTTGAAGTGTCATACTCTCGCATCATGTCAAATGGTACCCAGGGCTTGTTCCATTTTTTGGCTTCTTCCATTTCTTCTTCAGATAGCTCAAACTTGATTCCTTGAATGTTGAATTTTGGTCGTTCCCACCGTTTTGACCAGGGCTTAGGCTTCATTCTGACTTTTTGCTAGGATTGGAAACAAAATGAAGTATATGTGAAATACAAGGTCTGACTGGCTTTGTGCTAGGTACATTTCCTCTTGACTAATTAAACTGGAAAGCATGTGCTACTTTAACAATTTAATTTTTTTAAAAGAAAAGAAGAAAAAGAAGCAGGGCTCTTGGTCTCTACTCTGGTACAATAACCACTTAAAATATTTTCTCTCTTTCTAAAGTAGTGATTCCCACCCAGACTGCTGCAGGGGTGCCTGGAGATCCTTTCAAGGGTGTAGCAGGGTACCACACGGTGTTAGTACTGTGATGTGTGCAAACATGATTCGCAACATAAACCCAGAGATTTCAAATAGAAACCAAGAGTGTTAAAAACATTCTGACCTGTTGTGTCTTTCCGAGTTCTTGGCAACAAAAAAACTGCTCTAGTATTTTTCTATTGTCAAAAAACCAAGTGATGCCTAGGAGCTGGCATTTTCTGAGGGTGAGAGTCTAAAATGGTCAAGAACTCCTACTCTAAAGTATTCACTCACTCATCAGACCATTATTGGATCTTCTCTGACCCTCCCCTCCATCATCTGCTCAAGGAGGCACATGTTCATTTTCATCCTCCTACCCTTTCCTGACACCCACTCTTTTCTAGTTTTCCTCTTTAGCCTGTCAAAGAGGAACCTCAACTTCTGCACAAGGCAACACATTACATGTGGAAATACCCAGGCCACAGTGATACTCATTAGAACTAGAACTTAAGACTCGATATAAAAATGAATTACAACCTTCAGATTGAAAGGACCGTATGTAGCACATGACAGACACTGCAGGCCTATACATGCCCAATAGTCTAACATTCTTCCTGAGGTAGCAAAGAAGGTAGCAGACAGCTAATGTTAAGTCTTTTACAAAGAAAAATCTCTACATTTACTGAATTTATACCTTAACCTATGTTGTGCTTTTGCCACTAACCTTCCACCTCATTTAAGTGTATATACCAAAATACTCTCATAAAGAGACCAGTTAATATTCACAAATGGCTCTAGCCTGACATTTAAGTCCTATCTAAAGAACAGGTAAAATGTAGGCAAAGACTTCACTGCAAAACCCCCCATATGTGCCTTAACACTAAAGACAATTGACCATCTCTACAAGAAATTGCATGTTCCAGGCCCATCAATCCTTGGTCTGTACTAAAACAACTAACAAGGTGTACAGATATTTCAGGTGCATTGTGGATGTTAGTTCATTATACCTATGGAATAAAAGCAAACACATTTTACATGGGACACCTGGTGACTGTTCAATGTTCTTACCTGTCTGGATTCAAACCTGCAGACTAGATACAAATAGTTTATTTCAGTGGTGCTAAACTTTGGCCTGCATGCCAGATCTGGCTCCTGGCACTATGTTATCCAGCCCGTGATGCTCTCCACAGCTTTTGGTAGCAGGGGAGTGATGAGATTATTGAGAGCCCTATGGACTGGATAGTGTGGCCCAGCATGCTGGATCAGATACACAGGGTGGTACAGGGCCTCATACTTGCACTTGAGACTCCAGGGCTCAATTCTGGCATGCAGGGATAGCACAGGGCCCAATCCTGGTGTGCTGGGGCCAGCTAAGGACATGAGGGACCCGATCTGAGCATTTGGGGCTGGACAGAGACAGCACGATACCTGATCTGGCCTGCAGGACCAAAAGGTTGAGCACCACTTGTTTTATTACAATCCTTCAAATCCTCATCCTTCACCCCACAAAGTTAGTCACAGTAAACTCCTACCGTGTTTACAGGAACATCCTCATAAGCTGGAAGATGCACAGGCTTCATATTCACATCAAAAGTACTGTATTGAGGAAGATCGTCCCGTAAATACATCAGGTTGCCATCCAGTCTCTTCTCCAACTTCAGAACCTGGATCTCCTGGATTCGAGGGTTATACAATTCATAGCAAATCTCAATACCTTAAAAGAAGACAGAATTATTTACTTCATTTACAGAGAATCTGGAATCCCTAAAGCATTAGGTTTGTGTGTAGAACATAAGAATGGACATTTCCTGGGTCAGATCATAGGTCCATCTTGCCACTGGCATACTGTCACAGTGGCAGAGAGTGATTGCTAAAAAGGAAAGTGAACTGGGTACGACCAGGGTTTTGTCCACTATTCCTCTCTCACTTGCAGCCTCCAGCATTTAAGGTCTAGGAAGTTCCGATTCAGAGGCTGTCTCCCTAACTCCCACACTCAAGAGTTACTGATGCCTCTTTCCCCCAGGAATCTGTCCAATCCCGTTTAGGATCTGGCTAAAGTGTCAGCTTCCACAACAAGTGGCAACAAGTTCCACACTAATGACACACTACATGAAAAAGAACTTCCTTTTGTTAGTGTTGATCTGACTACCTACTAGCTTCATTTTGTAACCCCTTGTTCTTACCTTGTGACAAAGGGCAAATAATAAATCCCTACTGACTTTCTTTTTGCCATTCCGTGTTTTGTAAACCCTCATGTCCTCCCTCAAGCATCTTTTCTAAACTGAACAGGCCTAGCCTCTTCAGTGTTTCCTCATACGAAGTCCCCTCCATCCAGAGATGGACATCCTTGTTGCCCTTCTCAGAACCTTTTCTGGTTCTCCTATGTCTTTTCTGAGGTGTGGGGACCAGAACTGGGCAGAGCATTCAAGGTGTGGAAACACCACAGATTTATCAAGGGACTTTCCATTTTGTTTACAATTCCCTTTCTTAATAATCCCTAACATTTTGTTTGCCTTTTTGATGGCTGCTGAGCACTGAGCAGATGTTTCCAATGAATTGCCCACAATGACTTCCAGATCTTTTTCCTGTTAACTAACCTAACTTGTTTAGTTTGATATAATGCAATTTGTTATCCTTGATGTTTCATATCCTTATGTTATTCCAGGGCGGTGTTTTGCTTATTACACACAGCAGTGATAAGCTGCATTCTGCATCTGCTTTAAAATATAGGACTTGTAAAAAGTGCTAAAAATGCATATAAAGTACTCCGAGGTCTGCACTAGGTTGAGATAAAAATAGTTTTTAGTGGAATCTACAAGGAAACTAAAGACTGGATTTTACTCACCCGATATATGTTGATCACAATGCTGGTAGCCATGTGTACGGTCATTTCTGCTTTTTCTCTTGTAATGCTTCCATTTAAATACTAAACCTGCCCTACGATGACTTTAAAATATACCAGTCAGGAGACTATGCAAGCTCAGAATCAAGATTAAACTCTACAGGACACAGACTACTATCTTACGTTCTGTCTGTGCGGTGCCTGGCACAAACACACTATTATAAGGTTTTTTTAAAATTGTTGTTGTGCCAATTTTTAAATCCAGGCCTGCTGCAAAATGAACAGGTATAGTATTGCTGACCAATAATGAAACAGAAATGATCCAGATATGCCAGATTTCCGTGTGGCTTCAAGCTTTGAAATATTCCATACAACAAGCTCTTACTGCATTGTGCAGCCTGCCTTGTTTCTACAGCATACTTGTGTATGTATCAGCTGATATGTCTCTTTTAATCTGATAATATTTCAAAAGCATTACATTATTTTCTGTACAGCTTAGGTACCATACCTTCTCCACTTCCTCTCTCCCCCATAATAATGGGAGGTGTATGAAAACCTACCTTGCCTTTCTATAACATTCCGAAGTACAAAGGTACCACCAAGTCCGTTTCCTCCTCTCTGAATGCAAATTCCTACAAAACGGCTGGTTTTGCCATGGGCATATGGATCTGCGGTGGTAACGGACAGTATACTTCCTGCCAGAAAGGAGAAGCTAATTAAGAAACTAGGCACTGAAGCATGAGGAAAACGTCCAAAACGATTACATCTAGCCGCAAGTTAAGGTTCTACAGAAACTGCAAGACACATTGAATTAACAAAAAACATATACACTGGCAGACAGGATACAGTTAACCTGGCCATGTCTCTTTAAAGTTTCCCTGCCTTTAAAGTCATATAATTATTGCAGGCTATTGTTATTTTAATCTATTCAACTTGGAAAACACAGGCAGATGTCTACTTTCACTTATTAGGCTTCACACAGAAGCTGCCTGTTCCAGTACTAAGGTTGGAAGCAATGCATAGAGCATATCCGCATTCCTTTTTTGTTAAATGGAAATATGAACATGAATGACACGTCCCTCCGGCAGCTGGATGGGGCATGGTGGCGGCAAGCAGGAGCTCCTGCAGATGCCGTAGGTGCTGTCAGCAGGGGGGGGGGGGTGAGTGCCGGCCAGGGGTTGGCGACCACCTGCAGACACTGCTGGCAGTGGCAGCCAGTGGGGATTGCTGACCACCCGCAGACGCCAGCGGCAGTGTCGGTGGGGGGGCAAGAGGTGACTCCCCGCAAGCGCTGCCAACACTGTCTTTTTGTAGGAGGTGAACTGCCATGCTCAGGGGGTGCACGTGCACTCCCTACGCATCGCCCCTAAATAGGAACGTATCTACGAATCACACATTCTGCAGTGTCCCATGGTTTTGGCAGCCTACAATAGCTACACATCAAGGTCTGCAAAGAAACACGATCTATATTTTACTACCAGTCTCCAATGCTGGAGAAAAGACCAAGACCCAAAAGGTTAAATGCACCAAAAATATTTAAAAAAAAGATTAATGAAAACATATGGTAGTGCAAGAGTGATGTTGTACCCATGTTGATCCACAGATCAAGCGAGAGGCAAGGATTTCTTAGAGTGATATCTTCTACTGGACCAACTGTAGTCTGTCAAAAGCTTGGCTAACTTAATCCCAGCTACATAGTTGGTCCAGTAAAAGACACCACCCTAAAGAATTCCTGCCTCTGAAAAGACTGCGCAAGTCAATGTTATTGTTGCATAGATAAATGTACTGTGAATACTCAAGTCAAGACTGTAGGGCTCCTGATTACAGGTTGACCCTGGGTATAAGTTGAATATAATCCTTATAGTTCTTTTGGAGGAAAAAAGTGTGCTTAACACTAGAACAACAGCATTACAATCGCAGCGCTGTTACTGACCCACGTAGAACTCTGGAATGTGAATTACTTTCCTCCTCTGGATCATGTCCAGTCTCTCTATGTAGAATTTAAAAGGCGATGTTCTTTGTCTCCGTGGGATAAATTCAGGGCTCAAGAACCTGTGGGGAAAAATCAGAACATTAATGAGTATAACAACAAGCCAAAGAAAACATCTGTGCCCTCTTCATAACTGTGCTGGGACTTGCAACTAGTAGTCATCAGCCCCATTTTACAGTTACTTGCTCAAGGTCAAGCACAAAGTCAGTGGCAAAGCCAGAACCTAGAAGTCCTGACTCCCGGAACGCTGCCTCCTTGTCATGTTCTGAAAATTCATGCACATTCATTAAAGCTCACAGCACATCCTACGCTCAAATTACATTTACAACTACATATTCCCACTCTCAACTCACTGCTTTCATGGATGCAAGGCAGAGCGGTATTTTAAGCCTATTTTTTTTTTTATCATGCATCATCTTTGCTAAAACCTGGCCAATGAATCCTTATTTAGCGCTATAATTTTATTATATTGTTGTAGTCATAAATGGTGTTCGTTATTTTGTGTAATAACACAGCACGTGTAATCATTTTCAGGACATGCTCATGTAGTTAACTTGACCGCAGACCAGTTTGGGGAGCATAAGAACATAATAAGACAAGAACTGACATTTACTGGGTCAGACCAGAGGTCTGTTTCGCCTCGTTTCCTGTGTCACCCCATGGCAGACAGCGGGTGCTGAAAGGAAGAGTGAACTGTGTACGACCAGGATTTTTTTTTTTTTGTTCTTCTCTCACTTGCAGCCTCCAGCATTTAAGGTTGAGGAAGTCCTGATTCGGAGGCTGTCTCTCTGACTCCTGTGCTCAGTAGCTACTGATGCCCCTTTCCTCTAAGCACGTATCCAACCCCTTTTGAACCTGCCTAAACTGCCAGCTTCCACAGCGCCTGGTGGCAGCGACTTCCACACCTGGATTACGGGCTGCGTGAAAACCACTTCTTTTTGTTCGTTTTAAACTCACCATCTACTAGCGTCAAATAGTAAACCCCTGCTGACTTCCTCTTCGCCGTTTTGTAAACCCTCATCGTGCCCCGCTCCAGCACCTCTTCCCTAAACTGAGCGAGCCTGGCCTCCTCCACCACCCCTCCACACCACTGATCTTCCTCGCTGCCCGTCTCCACTTCTCCCGTGTCCTTTCGGAGGCGCGGGGGCCAGAACCGGGCCCAGTCTCCAAAACGTCCACACGCCACTGGCGGATCAAGGGGCACCGCGATACTTCCCGTTTGGTTTCCCGCTCCCTTCCCTAACGTTTGGTTTCCCGGACAGCTGCTGAGCTGACGTTTCTAGCCGCCTGCCCCCAGCAACTTTCCCGCGTGGAGCGCGTCCCAGTGTTGGCATGCCGCCGGCTCTTTTTGCCCAGCCCCACTACGGGTCTATCCGCGGCCTTTCGTCCTCCAGAGCTGTCACGGCGCCCACCTCCTCTGCAACTCCAGCTTGACCTTGTCCACGAAATGCGGCTTGGTGGGCGGCTGGAAGGCAGAAGGGTCCGGCTTGGTGGGCGGCTGGAAGGTGGCAGGAGGGTCTGTGTTGGCGCTGCTGCGGGTGCAGAAGCCTCCTGGCGAGGGGGGACACAGTGCGTTAGTGACGTGACGTGACAGGCCAGCCCAGCCCCGCCCCGCCCCGCCCCTCGACGCCTACAG